AGGGCATTGTACGCTAAAGCAGGCTGTGATATGAATTTAACAAGTTTCACGCAAAAAAATACGCGATAACAAATCACTGGTCAACTTTAGGCGTACATGCCAAGCCAATAAAAAAGTTTATTTTTGAAGTTTTTTTGATGATTAAAAATAAATTGAAGGAATTTTTTGATTAAATGCGAACGCCGAAAAACAGAGTAGATGACACGTCTTTTTTAAATTTGAGTATAATTCGGATGGCTAAAAAGAAAAATTCTTTTTAACCAAATACCGAAATTATATCAATACGTCTCAACTACCCATGTCTTTCAGCACTAACATTAACCTTTTTTAATTGAAAAAATTTTTTTGGAAGAAAATGAAGTTGAGTTTTTTAGTTGAAAAATTGAAAATTAAAATACTGTTTTCTGATAAAATTTTTTAAAGAAGAATCATAATTTTTTAAGAGAAATATAACGTATTTTAGCTGAGTCAGCTGAATCCCGCTAATACGACTCCCCTGATAACACGAATGACTGAGAATACTGATATAACAGACTTGATTACAGACACTTCTCTTCATGTCGATTCAACCCGGACCCGAGTGGTCTGATTTGAATGGTCGTGGTCCTGATTTGACTCATGATCACACCTAGGTTTCATTCATACGTCGGCTCAGTTAGCTCCTGAGGAAAAATCGTGGCGGCTTTTCAAGAGTTTCTTTTAACCAGGAGGGTGCAAAGAGGTCCGAGTTTCGGATAAATCCTCAATATTCCAGCAAAGTCAAACTTTTTAGTCATCGTCTTTTCTTCCAATAGGTTTCGGCTCAATTCTTATCAATAGTCTTCCTCAATATTCCAGTGAACCCTTAACTTTTTTGTTCGTTTTTAAAGGCTATTTGCCTTCTGGGTAGGCGGATAAAGCATTGCCAACGCGACTCCTCCAATCTTACAAACCCCTCTTCTTAAACTACTTTTCACCCCCAAATGTGTACCTTATATTGTGGTTATATAAAATTTAAATTCAAATACATTTTTTAAAAAACTTTTTATTTAAATTTAGAGAAAATTATACACAAATTATACACATACAAGATATATTTTACGAACAATTAACAATATTTTTTCACTCATCTTTAGATAAATCTTTCATTTTTTCTTAGTCATCGTCTTTCTTCCAATAGGCTTCGCCTCGATTGTCTTATCAATAGTTTTCGTTTTACCATCATCTTCATCTTTAGACTTGCAAATAAAGAAGCAAACCAAAGCAGCTATTATAAGAGCGAGAAAGCTGAAAGAGGAAAAAAATTTTTGAGGGGAAAAAATTTTTTGAAAAATTTTTCAAAAAATTTCAAAAAATTTTTTGAAACTTTTTTTTGAAAATTTTTGGAAAATTTTTTTGAAAATTTTTTAAAAATTTTTTCTAAAATTTTTTTGAAAAATTTTTGAAATTTTAAATACGAAAAACTCACACTCCAATACCAACAAGAATATACACAGCTTTTCCCCCTCCTTGTTCTGCATCCCTTTTGATTCGAAATTGAGGAGCGTCGTCTAAACCTTGCTTGTTCGCAACATCAACAATTAGATTGGCAAGTAGAAACAAAACAAGAAGACGAGCAGCATTGGAATTCTTTACGAGCAGCATTGGAAATTGTTTTTGTTGATTTAACTGGAGCTGTGGTGTATTGTTTAGAGCGGGAGGAATGGAAGAAGCGAATTTTAGAAGGCTTTTATATGAAAAATCAGAGTGCGGCACAGGTCGGGATCCTTTACAGGTCGGGATCCTTTTACGGGATATAATCATTGAATGAGATTTTGCCGTATTCTGGCAAGGCTACTTGGATCGAAATAACTTGCCGGTATCATTGGGCATCCCTCCTCTCGCCACTAATCGGCTAACCAGTTTTAGAATTTTACGCTCGATTACTTAAAAATGACGTTCGGCTGTTAACTTCAACCTACAATGAGGGTTAGCTAGTCAAAAAAGCAATTTTGATTTACAAGATTTATTGCAAGTTAAATTCAATACAAGAAATGTAATCAAAATATATTTAAGTATTTATGTCAAAACAAATTTAAAAAAATAATTTTATATCCCCTTTCTTGTCAATCCTTTCAATCTCGATAGTAAGTAGAAGTATAACCAACAGGCGAGTAATAATCGCGGAAAGCTTTGCAAAGAAGACTCGAAAAGAAAACTGAAGTCAATTGAAGCAGTAAAAGCAAAAGACCAAATTTAACAATTGTTGCCCCCATCAAATCAATTTTAGACGAGAGAACATTAAAACAGTCTTCCTTTAAAAAATAATTTAGAAAAAATTTTTTAAATTAAATTAAGGTCAGATCTGATTATAAGATACACCCTCGTGACAGGAAAGATAGTCTCCTATAAAGAGGTGTCTATTAAATAGAGGGTATCGCCTAGGCCCTTAGATAAGAGCGCTACTACATTAAAAAGCTCATTATAAGAGACTCATCTGAAAAATCGTGAGGTGTCTATTAAATAGAGGTACATCTCATTATAAGAGACTACCACTTAATGGCAAGCCCACATCTTAAACTGAGGAGTATTTAGTATTGGGTGAATCCCCTAATGAGATCTGACTCTATCCACGAACAGTTTTAGCCAATTCGCCAGCACACAATCCTTCATTAACATATAAAAGTCTAGTCTTGGCAGTTGCCCCGCAACAATTTAACAAGTCTTCTATTGGCTTCAAATTTTGACGTCCTTCCGGAGTTTCCGAACTTTTAGCCAAAGCACCTTGCAAGTCATCAAGTAAAACATCTTTGTTAGTAAAGAGAGCAATTAAAACATAGGCTTCAATTAATGACAGAGCAATCAAGACAATTGAAAACTGAAAAAAGAAGAAAATTTAATAAACGCTCATTATAAGAGACCTCTAAAATAAAATCCCACTACAAGATACCCCCAAGCAAAACCTCGATATAAGATAACTCCAATATTAGCTACACCTCTATTTAATAGACGCTCCTTGAAAAAATGGACTAGCTACTGGGCTGGAGCGCTGTCCAAGCGAAACCCTCCATTTAATGGACACCTTGCTATAAGAGACGATTTTTCACCCTCAAGGAGTATCTTATAATGAGGCTTTGCTATAATTTAATTTCAATATTTCACCAAAGTCAAAAGAAAAATGTTTTCACAAGAAGCTCCGCAACAACCCAAAAAACCAACAACCATTAGCAGAGCTCCAATTGCAACCAAAATCCATAACGACGATTGATACTAATTTTTAAATTTATTTTTTAAATTTTTTAATTTAATTTACAGTCGCCACTTTATCCACCAATTCATTATACATTTTAATTTTTTGAGTAAAATCATGTAAATGGGAAGCAAAATTTCTGTCCAAATTTGCCTTAAAAATACGAAATTTTCTTGTTTTCTCAATTTCTTACCCATAACGAAAAGCTAAAAAGCAACCCACCAAAAATAAAAATCAATAAATTTGTTGTAAACAAAAAGAGTTTAATAGTTTTGTTAGCAATTCCATAAACCATTTTTTAATTTTATGTTAAAGGAAGGTCTAGAAAAGGAATGAAATTTTATGTATAAAAGTTTAAATGAATGGGGAAGAAAAATGAAAAATAAGGAAAGGGGGAAAATCTGTTAAATAAGGGCATTGTTGTAAAAATAGACATTATGCCAAAAATTAATTTTTTTTAATTTTGTTGCTGCATAAAATAAAAATTAATTTCGCCATTTTCTATACAATTTATGCAGGTGTAAAACTAAAGTTTTTACTAGCAAGCCAAGGTAAAGGAGGATGAGTAAAGACGATTTCTATGAAAGAGAAGAAATGACAGTCAATGCGAGTCTATCGATAAGAGAATAATTTAAAAGGTTGTTTACTTGTAAACACAAAATACCTATGTATTTGTTTATTAATTTGAACGATTAGAGGGCTTTTTATGATGAAAAACAGTAAAACCTGAGTATAAGAGACGCTACACCTCTTTTTAAGAGGCTTTTTTTTAATTTGGTCAGCTGCTGGGTAGGGAGAGCTGCCTAACTAAAAGGTGTCCAACTGATTTTAAGAAGTGGAGATGAAAAACGGAAGTCGAACCCGGCCACCCCTGAAGCCTAAGTAACCTCATAATTTAAGATATAATTAGAGCCAGGATTTTTAGGTACAATAAAGTTAAAAATAGGCGCCTATATAGGCACTATAAAATTGCTAAAATAGGCACTAAAATACGAAAAAAAGGCAAAATAGGCAGTATTTTTTCCAAGATTTTCTGATTTAAATTGACTAAATTTTATTAAAAAAGATAAATCTAAGCAATAAACTGTTATATAAATTAATTCTGACGATCAGAATTACAGATAAACTAATTTATATTAATTATTTTGTTTCCAAAAATAATTCGATAAATTTTTCAGAAGAAAATTTTTCCCAAAAAAATTTTTTGACAAAAATTTTTTGAAAAAATTTTCTATTTTACCAAAAAAAATCTTTTATACAACAATTTTCTTAAAAAATGTTCAAAAATTCGAAAATTTTAGTAAAAATATGCAAAATAGGCTGAAAAAAAGCAAAATAGGGCATTTTCCCAGAAAAAGCCAAAATAGGCAATTTTAGGCAACGATAAAATTAGTTAGAAAGCAGATTTCAGTAAAATAACACCGGATTTGTTCGTTTCAGCATCAGGCCTATCTAGGAAAAAACAGGCATTTGCCTAAAAATCCTGGCTCTAGATATAATTCATTGGCTTACTAATAGAGAGCGGGATTTTCAAAAAACCTTGACATTCATCCATGACCTTTATTTTAAGTGAGCACTTGACCATATTCTAGACATTGAGTCAAGGAAAAATCAAGGAACGCTGAAAAATGCCTTGATCTGGACTGTGGGTCCAGGAAAAGTCAAGGTCTGGTCACGATCCAGCTCTCTTCCTAATTTAACACACGTTGAAAGAATCGAAATATACCCTCTATTTAAGACACACTTCATTATAAGTTACATCACCCCCAAAAGAGTATTAACAACTTAGGCCCGACTATTTCGATATACCAGAATTTTATTTAACGGTACAATAAAATATACAAGCATATAATTTAACAAAAACAATACATCATACATATAAAATACACAAAAAAACAAAAATTATTATATTCACAACTGTACATATATGTTTAATTTAATTCACTCCTCCACTTTCTTTATTGTCTTCCATTTTGGTATTGTTTTCCATTTTGAAGTCTTCCATTTTGAAATCAGATTCATCTGGTTCCACCGTCAGCAGAGCACTGTCTGTAGTAGGACTTGATGTAGTTGGATCTACCCGCCCTCCTCTATCTCCTGGTTTCTTCGTCTTACTTCCACCATCTCCTCCAACCTTTGCCTTTTGATTCCCAGCAACGACCGGCTTCACAACCGGTATTCGAACCCTAGCTTGGGCTTGCTGTCGCTTTGCTTTGTCAGGTGTTGCCGAATATCGCCTCTTTTTGGCTGCAGAATCAGTTTTTTTGGCAGCTGGAATAGGCGGAGGAGACTTTACTTTTGATTGTCTTTTGTTATCCTCCTTGTCATCTCCCTTCTTTTTCTTTGAGCAGCAGAAGCACCAAATCGTTGAAATGGTCATGCAAAAACTAGAAAAGAAAAAATTTTTTCTTTTGAATTAAAAATTTTCAAATATAAAAAAACGTACATAGCAAAGCCGGCAGAGAATGGAAAATAATCATCTTTCGTTGACGACAAACCAAACGCGCAGAAATTGAACGGTGTTGACATTGGGAGGAAAGTGACAAAATTTTAAAACTTTATTGCTTTTATACTTGGGATTTAGGAGTAATTAATTTTAATATTTATTTCTCCTTTCAAACCTCATTTTAGATACCCCCAATTAATGGGTAATCAAACTTGATCCATCAAGCTGGAAAAAAGATTGGGCTCACCAAGGGCTTTCGAATGATATTGTAAGGATTATTCACCTAGCGACATTTGAAACGTCTAGGCGTGGGTTAAACGATCTAAAAAGAGAAAGCATTAGTCAAGCTCAGTGGTAGAGCTCCTATAAGCGGTGAGCGAGAGCATGGAGATCGCAGGTTCGAAAACTGCAAGGAGGTTGCAGGTGTCCTGCCCGGTGGCTAAACTTTGGCAAAACTCTTTCTATACATATGTCGCTCAACTCCCCCAACCCATTAAAATCTGGTTAACCACTATTGGGTGCTGCCCACTATATAGAATACATCTCATTATAAGAGCCCTAGGGATTGTATAAAAGGGGCGCGACTTCATAATCCGCCTTAATATTCAAAATATTCTAGTTGGTTCAAATCAAATGTCAGTATCGTTCTATTCCTGCGTGTATGGCTCGGCGGCACCTAATGATTGTTCTTCTCAATTCTCTGCCGGCATTGCTATGTTCGTTTTTTTTCAAATTTTTTTCTAATTAAAAAAATTTTTTTTTCAAGTTTCTGTATAACCATTTCTGCAATTTGGTGTTTCTGCTCAAAGAAGAAGGCAAAGGAACAGAAGAAAAAACCGCCGGCCGAAGAGGGGACAGAAGCTGAGGAAGAAAGGAAAACTTTTATCTAGGCAACAAATTGTGTGTAATGAAGAAGGAAATAAATAAATAAATTCTTGTTGGAGATAAATAGGTAATTGTGTATTATATTCTGTTTGTAATTTATTTGTTGTTTGTTTGGTTGTAAAGTATAAAATATTTTGGGTGAAAATTTTTTTGAAATTTTATTTTGAAGCAAATTAGGTAGTAGAGCCTTCCAGGACCGAACAAAACCCAAGAAAAGTCTTGGAATCAAGACTCAAGACCAAGAGTCTAGGAGTGCTCTATTAGGTAGGGAACCAAGAAATTTTGATGTTGCCTCTTATGCGGTGTCTGGAGATTTGAATACTGGAAAGTTGGTCTCCAAGATTTTTCTAAGGTTGGGAATTTTCGCAAGATTTTTCGGAAGGTTATTTGGAGAGCCCTCCAAATTATCGGAATTTTGGGCTCTGTGTAAACAATAATATTGGGCTTTAAGATTGAGCGCCAGAGTTTGTGGGCATAAGAGAACTTCGGGCTCTAAATTTCGGAACAATCGAAAAAGATTTATTTATTAGAAGTTAGATAACTTAATAAAACTTGAATGAGAATTCGAGTTTGTTTGGAGAGCCCACTTTATTAACTGCAGTCATCTCCATAAAATATTCCAATTAAATTTTTCCATCCCCATAAAGATAGGCCAAGACTAGGACTCGATTAAGTGATCGATCAAGTACTGTTTCCAACAAAGGTCCTATTTCTAATTCGAATAACTACTACTAAATCCATTTCCACAAGAATCTAGGCTCGACGGAATAAGTCGAATGATACTAAAATCGTCTAGCTCTCACAATTAAAATTTAATTAAAATAATATTTACATAAATATAATTTACAATTAAAATTTTATGTTCTTCTTTTTGTTTTTCTTTTTGCAAATTTTCTTTTTACCCAGTTGTAAAGGGTTTCGAATTTATTACAAAAATAATCAAATTTTTTAATATAGAATATTCCAATTAAATCAATGAGCAATTTAATGCTAAAATAAAAATCTCTCTTTAGAGCCAAACAAATCATATTTTAGCATGGGGGTTATCCTAGACAGAGAGTAGCGCTTAGCCAGCTTCCCTGCCCAGTGAACAGCTAAACCTAAAAAGTCTCCTAAATAGAAGTGTATCTAATATTGGGGGTATCTTATAGGCAGACCTCATTATAAGATAGCCTCGATAGTTAAGAAACCTCTATTTAAGAAACGATTTCAAAAATTGGGTGAATACTAGAGATCGGCCTGGGTCTGGACCAAGGCCTGGGTTTTTCCTGTACCCAGAGTCCAGGCCCAGGCATTCTTTGACCTTCCTGGGTTTTTCCTGTACTACAGGCCCAGGATCCGGCTCAGGTCAATAAATCAAACCCGGAACCCAGGAACAGGCCCAGGCTTTTCAAAATTTCCGATCTCTAGTGATTACAGGTTGGAGAATAAAGAATACCCTCTATTTAATATACACCTCATTATAGGAGACGATGATGTCATTGCTAAGGGAGTATCTTATAATGAATTCTCCTAAACAGCACCTCCTTATTTAAGACACACTTCAGTATAAGGTACGATCTTGCCGTCTCCAAAGGTGAATATAAAAATGAGGTTAAGGATTGTCTTTAGTTAAAAATAAAACTTACAATGCAAAACTCGGAATAATAATAAAAATAGTAAAAAATGTAGAAATTAAAGTGTTGGGTGCAAAATCTCCAAAACCTTCAAATTTCCAATTAAAAATTTTATAAAAACAAAGACAAACCAACAGAACAAATTGTAACAAAAACAAAATAAAAACAATCCAAAATATTCCAATTTTCCAAAAATAAATAAATAAAAGACAAAATACTCCAAATTAATAAAAATAGAAAAAATAAAAATATTTTTGATTCATTTTCCGGTTGAGAATTATTTTGTGATTTAATTGTTTCTTTTTCGCTTTTGTTGGAGAGAGTAGTAGCAATTGGTGATTTTTGACCACAACAATTTTTAGGAGATTCTTTTTCTTTTAAAATAAAATTAATTTAATTTTTACCTAGGTATTATACAGTCAAATCTCATTATAGGATACTCCCAATAACTCATTACTAAATACACCTCTATTTAATAGACGTCTCTTTAAATTTGGTTGATTGTCTAAGTGATGGGTGGTATGAAGCTGCCTAAAAGATACACACAATTCAATATGCGCCTCATTATAATGGTTTAGGATATTTGTTTGACCGCTGAATGTAGAGCTGCCTAAATGATACCCTCTATTTAATAAACCCCCTGTATAGGTGACCTTTTCTTTCCCAAAAGTGTATAGGGAGGTTCGACTGTATGAAATTATTAAATATAAAGATTTTTAATTTTCTTACTCAAAGCATTCTTTCCATTCAATTTAATTTCTTTTGCTTGAGAAGGACTTAACCGTTTTCTAAATTTTCTCCAACAATTAGCAGATATTCTACAAATCCAATTAAAAAATAATGAAAAGGTTTTGGCCAAATCGGCAACAAGCAAAATAAAAAGGGGAATTCCAAAAATTGCAAAGGGAAAAATTAAAGTTTTTCCTGTTGGTGTTAATGGGACCAAATGTCCATATCCTTTAGAAATATTTTTAAAAAATTTAATATATAGTCAGACCTCGTTTATATACATATGCCCCTTGGGACAGAAAAATCGTCCATTATAGTGAAAAAAGACCGCATATCTAACTGAGAGGCCAATTAGTAGGGAGTGAATTAAAACTGAAACCATCCCTACTATTTGCCTATGAGTCTATAAACAAGTTAATCTATATAAGCGAACTCATGGGCCAGAAAATCGTACATATATTATAGTGGATAAAGACCCTATACATAAATGTCAATCGAGTTTGATGGGGGTGAATCAAAACAGGGAGTTCACTTAGAAACTCCTCCCATATCCTATCCAGAGCTGTTTCGAAACAAAAAATCTTCGAAAATCGAAATTTCGAAACAGCTCTGGTCCTAGCAAATTTTAAAAATATATATGAGATTAGAGACCGGACCGAGACGAGAGCTCGATCGAAAAGCTCGGTTATCGAGATCTCGATTCTCGTAAGACACTCCCTGTCCGGTCTCTATTATGAGAAATAAAAGTGAGGTCCAACAGTATTTCAATATTACCAATTCTCGAAATTAAAGAAATTGCAAACAAAATCGAATTAACAAATGTCCAATTTTGTTGAATATTTAATTGTTGTTTTTCTTTATTTAAAGAGGAAATTCCTCTTTTGCCTTTTTTCCGTCCAATTTCTAAAAGTTTATTGCTAAATTCATTAGTTTCTTGATAAAGCCTTTCAATTGGGATTTGAGGAGATAAATTATGTAGTTGTGCCATTAAATTATTTTTTATTATTTTTATTGATTCTTCGTATTTGGCAAGTTCCTTAAATGAAAATTAATTTTAATGAAGAACCTGTTTGTAAATACAACCAATATTAGGTACACCTCTATTTAGAGAACGACGTTAAAAATTTTGGGTGTCCAAAGGTGGGGAGAGCCGACTAAACGAAAACCCTCTATTTAATCTACACTTCATTATAAGGAAACCTCTCTATAAGCTACATCCAATATTAGATGCACCTCTATTTAAGAGACGCTTTTCAATTTTGGTTGACCTGGGTGAGGTAACTATCTAAACGAAAACACTCTATTTAATCTACGCCTCATTATAAGGATATGTCTATAAGCTACATTCAATATTAGATACACCTCTATTTAAGAGACGCTTTTATTAATTTTGGTTGGCCACTGGGAGGGAAAGCCGTTTAAGAAAAACCGTCTATTTAAGATACCTCTCATTATTGGGTAAGATTTTTCCGGCTATAAATGGGGTTAGAAAAGTGAGGTTCAATAATTTTTAAAACTAAATTTATAAACCTCTCTTTCCTTTTCATTTTCAACAGAATAAAAAGTTGCAGCAATTATAAAAACATAAACAGTTGTAAGCACCAAAATAAAAATACGAGGAATTAATATTTTGATTAACTGCTAAGTTAAATTTAATTAGAAATGATTATTGAAAATATTCAGTCGAACTTCAATATAAGCGACCTCTTAGAACTGAAAAATAGTCTCTTATTCTCTCTCTCTCTTTAGTTGTATTTTAAATTGGGGGTATTGGTCAGACCGCTGTGCCCCAACCCAGTCAACGATTTTTAAAGAGTCTCTTAAAGAAATGTGTACGCTATACGGAGGTGTATCTTGTAATGAGGTGTATGTTAAATAGATGTATATCCTAAATAGAGGTGATCCTAAATAGTGGGTATTGCTCAAACATTTCCCCAGACAAGGGCCCTACCAACCTTAAGATAGTGTCCCTTAAAGAGAGGTTTATCTTATATTCAGGGTACATAACATAGAGAGGTTCGACTGCATTTAAAAATAAAATTAGAATAATTACAGATTTTCTTTTATTTCTCCTCCCACAACATTTACTAGTATTATTCCTAATTAATTCAGTATCACTATTTAAATTTATTTGATATGGTCGGCGAGCTTCTGCCTTTAAAAAAATTTTCAAAAAAATTTTTTTTTGAAAATCTAAACGAACCAAACTAATTTCTTCGTCTCTAGATTCATCAGAAGAATCAAACATTTTTAAAATAAATTAAATATATTTAATTAAATAAAAAATAAATTTTCTTTTGTTTCCTAGGAGACAAAGAAAATAAATAAATTTTTTAGAGATTAAAAAAAACAAAATTTAAATTCTACTTTAATCTATTAAATTATTTTTATATATTTACGGATATACATATATAAATCAGAAAAATCGACACTCTTTATAGAAAAAAATTTGTCCTTTATAAAGAGGTGTTGATTAAAGTGGAGGTAATTGTTTAGTCATCTCTCGTGACTAAAAAATACAACACAAAACTGAGGTGTATATACAAAGGGTGTCACAGATTACTCAAAATTAGGGGTGTTCCCCGCCCCTCCCCCCCCCCCGTAAAAAAAATAAAAAAATTTTCCCCGTCCCCCCGTAACGTTGCCTTACCCGTGCCCCCCCCCCCCCCCCCCGTCGGGGAACAACCCTACTCAAAATCTCTTACTCTGACTTTTTTTGATCTGAAACTCGACCCGGGATTTTCCTCAACCCGTGACAACCCTCTAATTACGCTGGTCTATAGAAACATAATAAAATGAGGTGTACATTAAAGTGAAAGGTATCGTTTAGAATCTCCTTCAATTTTTAAGAAGATTTATTTATTTTACAAAAGAGAAAACTTTTTTTAAGAAATAAATTTAGAAAAAAAGGAAAAAGTGTCAAGAATAACAGAAAAAAAAAAATAAATTTAAAAAACATTTAAAAAGCAAAATGAAAATTTAAATGCTATAAAAGAAAAGTGGGGAAATGGCTATAAAGCAAGTTAAATAAAAGAAAAAAAAGAGAAAATAAAAAAAAGAAACTATGACATTTAACTTTATTATTGGCACTAAACAAATAAAAAAGAGAATAAGAAGAGACGTTTTATAAATTTTATTTTTAAATAAAACTAAGGAATATTAAAAATAGTTGAGCTGGGCTAAATTCATCCTTTAGTTAATGCAAAAGTTTAGGCGACTGGTAACGAACCAGGGTTCAATCGGAAATGACGAAGGTCCGATTTTTTTAAGTCGGAAATCGAAACTCCGATCGACCCCTGAAACGAACCAGCATTTTCAGCTTTCCGGGATGATTTTGGATCCATTATAAAGTATAGCACGGAAGGGTCCCATACTGGCTTCTATGGGATCCCTAATCCCGGGTTTTAAGCGACAAACGGGATTTACTGGATTTACGGGATTAATCCATCGGAGTTTCGTTTCGTTAGCTAAAAATCCCGTTTCGGGATTCTGGGACTACAATTTTGCCCGCCGCATCCATTATACCACGCCTTTTCTTGTATAGCCTCAGGAATTAACTAGCCCTTTGCTTTATTCAATTCAATTTATCGCTATAAATATTAGGGTTTCACCGGAAGTTCCGGTTCCGGTTCCGGTCAAAATTTCGGTTCCGGTGAAACCCTAATAAATATGTGACACTCAGATAAACTAATAAATTTAAAATATTTAAGTGAATCGTTTAGTCTGGGGGATAAAAATAATTTTCTGACTCAAAAATGAGAGATATGTCGACTAAATTTAAAAGAGCTTAGGAAATAGATTAACAAATTAATTTTTTTCAATTTTTGTCTTAAAGTGTTAACAGATTTTTTAGAAGAAAATATTTAAGAAAAACTTAAAAAAGAATAGAAAATTGATAAAAATAAATACTCTTTAAAATGAGGTGAGTTTAGAAAAGGAAGGAAGCAGCTGTTTTGAAATATTTCTTTTTTCAAGAGGAAATTTACACGAACAGAAAAATTGAAAAAAAGATTGAAGACAAAAAATATAGACAAAATTTTGTTTTAATTATAAAATTGGGGGGAAATTTTATATAGATTTTTTAATCAGAAATCTCTCAAAAATTAATTTATATCACTCAACTAACATTCTAAACAATGACAAATTTTTAAAATTTTTATTTTTCAATTTAACACAAAAAATGATTTAATAAAACGAATAATTTTATAAACACGGAAAAACAATAATATAGTCGGACCTCACTATAAGAGACGCCCCTTACTAGAACACCTCTATTTAAGAGACGTTTAATAAAAATTTGGTTAGCTATGACTGGAGGGATCTGCCTAAGAAAACTCTTCTATTTAACGTACACCTCACTATAAAGAACCCCTCACTATAAGATACATCCCCTAGTAGACCCCTCTCTATAAACACCCAGTTTGAAGGTACATGTCATAAAAGTGGCCAAATCCTTGGATATCTTAGGCGTAAAACTTCTAAGGGTGTTTCGACAAGTGAGTCCCCGACTTTACAAAATAACCAGCATTCAATCAACTTCCTTTTATTACACCTATATACACAATTTATTTTGTTTATATGAAAGCCATCCTACTATTATCTTTACCCTCTTTATTCTTATCTTCTTTACTCTTATCATCCTTATCCTTATCTTCTTTAACTTTATACACTTCATCTTCTTCTTCTTTAGCTTTTCTTTTCTTCTTTTCCCTCTCGGCCATTTCCTCTTTTATCATCGTCAAGATCATGGCATTCCGTTCACGAAGAAGACGATTTGTAGAGTCGAGCTCAGCCTTTTGCAAAGAGTTAACAGTTTTTTGCAAGTTATAATTGCTACAGTAGTAACAAAACAATACAAAGCAAAGAGCCAACCTGTAAAGAAGAAAAAAATTTTTTTCTCGGAAAATTTTAAAATTTCAACTTACAAGACAACCAATATCACAATAATAATTTCTGGCGAAATTGGCCACCCTGTTTCTTCTCCTCTCTTCACCCTTTCTTTGAACACATTCCAGCCTAAACCATTGTCTTCCTCTTTGCCCAATTCGTTGTTGTTGGAAGCAGCAATTAGAATGAAGCAAATTGATAGAAAATAATTAACCAAAACAAGTCCAACAAACAGTTTTAGATATTTTGGGGTTTGAATTGGTGAAGAGGTCATTTCTGGTTTTGTTTGAAGTGTTGACGATTAGAAGAAGAATGAGAGGAGGTCTAAATTTTGGAAGATGGCTTTTATAGTGTTTTTGTTTGAGAGAGAAAACAATGGTTTCGGCAATCTCCTATTGTCAATTTTTGGCTTTACTCTGATATGGATCAGGAATATCACACGTTATTCGAAATCCGATACTCTCCGAGAAATTAAAATACAATACTACCAGACTTTTTTTCACTATCTGGGACAAAGTTTTGGATATTACCAGACTTTACCAAGATTGGAAATCAGCAATCGTTAAGTGATAATACTAGAGGATGATTTTATTTATTTTTAAATAAGAGAAAACTAAATTTAATGGTTGGAACAAACAATAAAATACCCAGGATCTGCAAAAGTCATCTCTTATAATTTACCTACATATATCACCCAACTAAGATAATAAAAACATGACAAATTTTTAAAAATTTTTATTTTTTACTTTAACACAAAAAATGATTTAATGAAACGAATAATTGAATAAACAAGGAAAAACAATAATATAGTCGACGCTCACTTTAAGAGACGTACCTTACTAGAACACCTCTATTTAAGGTACACTCAGAGGTGTGTCGGAATCCCGATTTCCGACGTTTTTTTCCTTGCGATTTCCGAAAAAAATTTTTATTTCCGATTTCCGAATCCTCAGACTGTTCCGACCCACCTCTGGGTACACCTCACTATAAAAAAACCCTCGCTATAAGATACAACCCCTAGTAGAACCCCTCTACATAAACACCCCGGTTTAATATACACAACATTATAAGGACCGTTTTTTCAGGATTATCTATAAGTGAGTCTTCGACTTTACAAAATAACCAGCATTCAATCAACTTCCTTTTATTACACCTATATACACAATTTATTTTGTTTATATGAAAGCCATCCTACTAGTATCCTTAACTTCTTTATCCTTATCTTCTTTAATTTTATACACTTCATCTTCTTCTCCTTTAGCTTTTCTTTTCATCCTTTCCTTCTTTTCGCTCTCGGCCATTTTCTCAGCCTTTTCCTCGTTTATCATCTTAGAGATCTTGGCTTCCAGTCTACGATTAATACACTTGTAATAGTTCAGATCGTATTTCATCATGTCTAGCTCAATTTTTTGTTTGTTATAACGGTTATAGTAGTAACAAGATAATATAGAGCAAACCACTAACAGAGCCACCCTGTACAGAAGAAAAATTTTTTTTGAAGATTTTTAAAATTTCAACTTACAAGACAACCAATATTCCAATAGTAATTTTTGGAGAAAGAGGCCATTGTGTTTCTTCTCCTCTCTTCACCCTTTCTTTGAACACATTCAAGCCTAAACCATTGTCTTCCTCTTTGCCCAATTCGTTGTTGTTGGAAGCAGCAATTTGAATGAAGCAAATTGATAGAAGATAATTAACCAAGAGAATATGTCCAACAAACATTTTTAGATATTTTGGGGTTTGAATTGGTGAAGAGATCATTTTTGGCTTTGTTTGAAGTGTTGACTGACGATTAGAAGAAGAATGAGAGGAGGTTTAACTTTTGGAAGAAGGCTTTTATACTATTTTCTATAGAGAATTTGGCCATTATTCGTAATCCGGTACTCGATACGAGAAATTCTAAAATACGATACTACCAGACTATCTTCTCTAGACATGACAAGGTTTTGGGTAAAGATTGATGTCTGTTTTCCACTTTTTCAAATTTGCCTTTGGCACCTTTTCATTCAAATTCTATCAAATTTTTAATTAAACATGACAAATTTTTGAAAATTTTTATTTTTCACTTTAACACAAAAAATAATTTAATGAAACGAATAATTGAATAAACAAGGAAAAACAATAATATAGTCGAAGCTCACTATAAGATAACCTCAATTTAAGAGACTACTGGGAGGAGGACTCTCCAAACCCCCCAGTTTAAAGGCTTTTAGGTCTATCTATAAGTGAGTCGACTTTACAAAATAACCAGCATTCAATCAACTTCCTTTTATTACACCTATATACACAATTTATTTTGTTTATATGAGAGTCTTCCTACTTTCTTCATCATCATCTTCATTCTTATCTTCTTTAGCCCCTTCTTTAACTTCACCTTTAACATCAACTTTCTTAACTGCAATTCTTTTATCGGATAAATCCTTGTGTAACGCCACTAGACGTTCATGATGACGCTTTCTAATGGCGAGCTCAGCTTTCTTTTTGTTATAGCTGCGGACATAGAAGTAGCCAATTATAGAGCCAACACAAATACCCCTGAAAGAAAAAATTTTTTCTTGAAAAATTTTTAAATTTTCAAACTTACAAGATAGTCAATATTCCAAAAATAATTATTAGAGGAGTAGACCCTTGTGTTTCTTCTCCTCTCTTCACCCTTTCTTTGAAGCCTAAACCATTGTCTTCCTCTTTACCCAATTCGTTGTTGTTGGAAGCAGCAATTTGAATGAAGCAAATTGATAGAAGATAATTAACCAAAAAAATATGCCCAACAAACATTTTTAGATATTTTGGGGTTTGAATTGGTGAAGAGATCATTTTTGGTTTTGTTTGAAGTGTTGACTGACGATTAGAAGAAGAATGAGGAGGAGGTTTAAATTTCGGTAGAAGGCTTTTATAGTATGTTTTTGTATAACTGAATTTGGCTATTTCCTATTGACAACTTTTGGCTCTTGTCTATGATAGGGATTAGGGATGCCATGGGATATTCGAGCTCCTCCGAGAAATTCGGAAATACGATACTACCTGACTTTTTTCTTTAACCGTGACAAGGTGATGTCTGTTTTCCACTTTTTTTTCAATTTGCCTTTGGCAACTTTTAAATGAAATTCTATTAAATTTTTAATAAGGGGTGGATTCACTTTTTATTCTCATTTGACCATTATGAACATTCTGAAGGAATTTTTTGAATCATCTGATTCTTCTCGTAGGAGAATCTAAATGTCATACAGTTACAGGACCTTCCAACATTACAACGCATAAGCTTTACTGTTAAAAAATTAATTTTTTAAATTCATGTCCTAAAGTGTTGGCCATAATTATAAAAATGGAGAATTTCGAAATTAACTTGTAAAAAAATTAACTTATAAATTAACCAACATTTAACACATAACAAATTTTAAAAATTTTTATTATTCACTTAAACACAAAAAATGATTTAATGAAACGAATAATTGAATAAACAAGGAAAAACAATAACATAGTCGAAGCTCACTATAAGATATCCCCGGACACCTCTATCTAAGAGACTACTGGGAGGAGGAAATCTCTACCCCCAGTTTAAAGGCTTTCAGGTCTATCTTAAAGTGAGTCCCCGACTTTACAAAATAACCAGCATTCACTCAACTTCCTTTTATTACACCTATATACACAATTTATTTTGTTTATATGAGAGTCTTCCTACTTTCTTCATCATCATCTTCATTCTTATCTTCTTTAGCCTCTTTAAATGCAACTTCCTTACTTCCAATCCTTTTCTGGGCTAAATCCTTGTGTAACGCCAGTAGACGTTGATGATGACGCTTTCTATTGGCGAGCTCAACTTGCTTCCTGTTATAGCGGCGGACAAGGAAGTAGCCAATTTTAGAGCCAATACAAATACCCCTGAAAAGAAAAAATTTTTTTTTGAAGATTTTTAAAATTTCAAACTTACAAGAAAGCCAATATTCCAATAATAATTATTGGATTAAAAGACCCTTGTGTTTCTTCTCCTCTCTTCACCCTTTCTTTGAACACATTCAAGCCTAAACCATTGTCTTCTTCTTTGCCCAATTCGTTGTTGTTGGAGGCAGCAATTTGAATGAAGCAAATTGATAGAAGATAAAACATTTTTAGATATTTTTGGCTTTGAATTGGTGAAGAGATCATTTTTAGTTTTGGTTTGAAGTGTTGACTGACGATTAGAAGGAGAATGTGGTGGTTTTAATTTTGCGTTACGGCTTTTATAGTATGTTTTTGTATAGCTGAATTTGGCTATTTCCTATTGACAACTTTTGGCTCTTGTCTATGATAGGGATTAGGGATGCCATGGGATATTCGAGCTCCTCCGAGAAATTCTGAAGTACAATACTACCTGTTAACCGTGACAAGGTGATGTCTGTTTTCCACTTTTTTTTCAATTTGCCTTTGGCACTTTTTAAATCAAATTCTATTAAATTTTTAATAAGGGGTGGATTCACTTTTTATTCTCATTTGACCATTATGAACATTCTGAAGGAATTTTTTGAATCATCTGATTCTTCTCGTATGAGAATCTAAATGTCATACAGTTACAGGACCTTCCAACATTACAACGCATAAGCTTTACTGTTAAAAAATTAATTTTTTAAATTCGTCCAAAGTGTTGGCCTTAATTATAATATTGGAGAATTTCGAAATTAACTTGTAAAAAAATTAACTTATAAATTAACCAACATTTAACACATAACAAATTTTAAGAATTTTTATTTTTCACTTTAACACAAAAAATGATTTAATAAAACGAATAATTGAATAAACAAGGAAAAACAATAATATAGTCGAAGCTCACTATAAGATAACCCCTTACTAGAACACCTCAATTTAAGGAAGAAGGTCTCTGAGCCCTACAGTTTAAGGTACATTTTTTCAGGTTTATCTATAGTGAGTCCCCAACTTTACAAAATAACCAGCATTCAATCAACTTCCTTTTATTACACCTATATACACAATTTATTTTGTTTATATGAGAGTCTTCCTACTTTCTTCATCATCATCTTCATTCTTATCTTCTTTAGCCCCTTCTTTAAATGCAACTTCCTTACTTCCAATCCTTTTCTGGGCTAAATCCTTGTGTAACGCCAGTAGACGTTGATGATGACGCTTTCTATTGGCGAGCTCAACTTGCTTCCTGTTATAGCGGCGGACAAGGAAGTAGCCAATTATAGAGCCAATACAAATACCCCTGAAAAGAAAAATTCTTTTAAAAATTTTTAAAATTTCAAACTTACAAGAAAGCCAATATTCCAATAATAATTATTGGATTAATAGACCCTTGTGTTTCTTCTCCTCTCTTCACCCTTTCTTTGAACACATTCAAGCCTAAACCATTGTCTTCCTCTTTGCCTGATTCGTTGTTGTTGGAAGCAGCAATTTGAATGAAGCAAATTGATAGAAGATAATTAACCAAAAGAATATGTCCAACAAACATTTTTAGATATTTTGGGGTTTGAATTGGTGAAGAGATCATTTTTGGTTTTGTTTGAAGCGTTGATGATTAGGAGAAAAATGAGAGAAGGTTTATAAATTTTGGTAGAAGGCTTTTATAGTATGTTTTTGAGTGAGAGAAAAACGATGAGTTTGGCAATTTTCTATTGGTAATATTTGATTCTTGACTCATCCGGAGATCAAAATTTTGAGAAAGAGCTTTTAGTTTGTCTCATACTCTCTATACGTGATATGACTCGTAACGAATTAAATATATTGTATAACTTGCGAAAGCAAGCATTTTCTATGAATCAGGCCGAGAACATGTTTAAGTACATTGTTGTCGATCTGTCAATAATTACACTCAAAAATCCACAACCGCTCAGGGCAATCAAAAATAAATAGGGACACGCAGGCAAACCGCAGTCAAAAATAAATACCGGAAATTTTCAATCATATAAATGTTTATTATTTAATTCTAGATCCCTAGCTAATAAAATACCGGATTTAAATCAATTAATCGAAAATTCTAATCCACATATTATATTAATCAATGAAACATGGCTCACAACAGAAAATACAATAAACTCTGAACTTTCATATAGGGGCAATTATGAGATTATATTAGCTAATAGAATAGGAAAAAGAGGGGGAGGATCGGCAATCCTATTAAAAAATAACATACCGTTTAAAATAATTTTCAATGGCTCTAAATTCCAATCAGAGATAATCCATATAAAATTATTTCTCAAAAAAGAAATTAGCATTATAAACATTTACCGCCCACCAAATAGTTCAATTATTAATACAAAAAAATTATTTAAATTTCTTTTAAATCAAACTGATCAAAAAACAATATTATGCGGAGATTTTAATATTAAACACATAAATTGGGATTCCAAAGAATTAACTGACAACTATGATAAGATCGCGAATATGTTTTTGGAGTTTATAGGTCAAAATCAATTAAATCAACTTGTTACTGAACCGACTAGGGAAAATTCAATCCTGGACCTTGTACTCACACCTGCTTCCAATTTAATAAGAAATGTTAATGTTAGGGAGAATTTTTCAACTTCTGATCACAGAATGATAGAGTTTGAGTTATATGAGCAGATCAGAGTAATTAAAAAACCAAAAATTTATGTCAGAGATTTAAGCAAATCCAATTTTATTAATTTGAATCAAGTTATATTTGAAAATAATTTAGATCTAGGTATATTAACAAAGTTCACTGTGGAAGATAAATATAATTTTCTGACAAAGGAATTGTTATATCTCTATAACAAATATATACCGATGAGAACCTTGAATAAGATAATAAGGAAGACATACCCCAAACGGATTAAGGAATTACACAAAGAAAAACTTAGATTATTCAGAGTCCTTAAAGAAAGAAAACATGATCATAACTTAAGACTTGAGTATAAAATCGTTTCAAAAAACCTGAAAAAACAATTAAAAATTCATCATAATACTAAGGAAGAAAAAATAATAAGTAAAGGTGGAAATTCAATACATAAGTTTATTAGAAACAGACTTACTCAAGATAATAACATACCCTGTTTAATTGATAAAGAAAATAAATTTTACTTCAGTAATGAAGAAAAATGTAATATTTTAGGAAAAGAATTTCAAAAAAACTTTCAAAATAAAAATATTAATATATCAAATTATAACAGAAATATAATTCCGAAAACAAAACTTTCAGACATAGATCTAAGCACTAGCATTGTGTGGGATGTCCTTAGATCACTTCCTAATCGTAATTCAACTTCGCCAGATAACATTCCTTATATATTATTAAAATATTGCGCTGACTCACTTGCAAAAATAATCACAGATATCTTTAGATGTATTATTGATAATAAGCAAATTCCATCTATTTGGAAAACATCACTAATTATACCACTTTTTAAAAAGGGAGAAAAATCAGATCCAAAAAATTATCGACCAATATCGCTAACATGCACCTTATGTAGGATACTTGAAAGAATTATTGCACAGCAATTAACAAAATTCCTAGAAGATAATAAGTTCTTTAATAAAAATCAGTTTGGATTTCTTAAACAAAGGTCCACAACCACACAGTTATTATCTACCATGGATGATTTATATAATGCAATACAAGATGGATATAATATAGATATTATTTACATCGACTTTGCTAAAGCATTTGACACTGTACCAATAAATATTCTTTTAGATAAAATAGAAAGTGCAGGCATAAGTGGAAAAGTATACTCATTTCTTAAAAACTTCATATCGGCTAGAAATTTCAAGATTAAGATAGGTGACCAATTATCCCACAACTATGAAACATTCTCAGGTGTACCTCAAGGAAGTGTCCTAGGACCACTTTTATTCCTTATTTTTATAAATGATCTTCCTAATGAAATCCCCGAAAATGTTGGAGTAAAACTATACGCAGACGATGTAAAACTATATATAGCTCATAAAAACGGCATAGAAAGAGAACAACTAAATAAAGCTTTAAGAATACTCGAGAAATGGACGGAATTAAATGGTTTAGAAATATCCCCTAGCAAATGCTTTTCTTTATATCTAGGTAAAAATAACATGAAAAGAGAATATATCATACATGGATTAAAAGTACAAGAAACAGAATGTATTCGTGATCTTGGAATATTAATTGATTCAAAAATAACATTTAACAATCATATAAACATGATCATAAAAAACGCATATTTAAAAAGCTCCCAAATAATAAGAATCATTAAATCTAGAAATTTAAATCTCCTCGTTAATATATATAAGACATATATAAGACCCCAACTAGAATACGCAACTGAAGTATGGAATCCACAGATGAAATATCAAATAGAGAAAATTGAAAAAATTCAAAAACTATTCACTAAAAATATTTACAAAAAATGTGGTTTAATCAAGGTCCCATATGAAGAAAGATTAAATACTTGTAAACTCGAAAAGTTAATAGATAGAAGAAAAATTGCCGATCTTTCCACCGCTTTTAAAATTATAAAAGGTTTTACATCCCTTAATTCCCAAAAATATTTTAATTTATCAAATAGATCTCTTCGCAGGCCTCTACTTCTTAGGACAAAAAAATATACAAATAAAACAAAAAATAATTTTTTTCACAGAGTGGTGAATAACTGGAATAATCTTCCAAATGAGCCATTTAAAATAAATGATCCGAAAAAATTTAGAAGCTCATTAAAATCTAATAATCAAAGTAAAATAATAAAGACATTGAGCCCTGGCGTGTGTGGTTTTTAGAGTGTTTATTTACTATTTATATATTTTTTTTCATTTCATTTTTTTTGTTGTTGTCTCACATATTTTCTTTAATTTGTATTTTTATGTTTTTTTATGCACCACTTTAATGTATTTTAAAATACCTGTGGTTTGCTGATAAATAAAATAAATAAATAAATAAAACAATCTACTACACCAGGGATGGGTTGAGGAAAAAGGTATCCGTTCGGGCTTCGGATTTCGGGTTCAGCTCATCACTGTAATTCAGCTCTCACTGATCTACACGCATTTCAGTACCTCGTCATTTCAACAATAGAAACTAAAAGTGTGACCATATTTTCTTTGAAATGCAAAACAATAGAGGAAAAAATATTTAAAGTGTATTAAAAAAATAAAAACAAACAAACTTTTTTAAACTAAACAAAAATTTTTTTTCATAAAAATAGATTTAAAAATCATTCAAAAATGTTGAGGAAATTAAATTTTGAAAATTATTTTTTTAATATTCTTTTTTTAATATTTTTGTCAAATCAAGGAATCATTTTTGGTAAATATTAAATTTAACCTTAAAAAATTTAAGTACAGTAGAACCTCAGTTTAGATACCTTTGCAGCTGAGAAATTCTATCTTGTACTAAGGTGTGCCTTAAATGGAGGGTATTGCTTTAACAGTTCCACCATACAATAGGTACGGGGAAGCAAAATCGGACAATCGGGAACAGAGGTGAGCGCATTGCGTCTTGCATTATTTGCGTTAAATTTTGGCCTTGCATTGGGTTTTGCGACTTTCACAATTGCTTCCTGTGCTCTGACCCCTGATCTTGAAGTCAAAGAACGTGGGAGGGAAAAGGAGTAATTTCTGGGAGGGTCTGATATACATACTTCAAATTTTCTTCATTCTAGGGGGTCTAGAATGGGGTTCTACTGTACTCGAAAAAATTCAAATTTCTATCTCGAATATATTTGCTTTACATAGCTATTGATAACTGTCCAATGAGAGTTGTTAAACACATAATTATTCGAACAATAGAAATAACAAATCGTGGAGATACTTCCTTACAAATGCAGGTTCTTTATCTCTTAAAATTTCCAAAATTACAATTTAACAGTTAATTCGTCGTATAATGGAAGATATTTATGGAGGCACTTGGGGTGTTTTAATTATTGAAGGGACTAATTTAGTCGGAAAATCTGTCCATTGGACAATTCCAGACCACAAACATCGGGACGGTTCTGCTGCTTTTTGTTTATATGACGAGAATGAAGTTCAATATAATGTCTTCAAAACGGGAGATAAAGATACTGAGGATAGAATAACTTTAGAACAAGCTATGGCAAAAATAAGTGATAATATTAGAGGATAATATTTTATTTGTTTAGTGAAGGAGAAAATAAAATTGTGGTCAGATCTCACTTCGCTCCCTTGAAGTCACAAAATGGTCTCTTATAATGAGGTGTAGCTTAAATAGAGGGTATAGATTGTGCAGCTCTTTCCATACAATCAATGGTGGGTCGAAATTCCGAGTTTCGACTTGTGAGCCATTTCCGATTTCCGACAGTTCCGAGTTCCGACACCTCTGACTGTTCCGACCCACCTCTTTCCATACAATAGTCAAACTCCCCAATTTAACTCTACTACATTTTTCCCCGAGCAAAATAATTGTACCAGTCTAACAACCTGTTTTTTAAATATATTTATCATTAAATAGAACGGTTCATTGTCAAAATAAAATCAAATTAATCACAATAATAATTTAGAGATTAAAATTTTTTCAATATTTCTCCTCGTTGATTTCAACACATTTTTAAATTTATTTTCCTCCATAACCACCATATCCTCCTCCACCACCCCCTTGTCCTCCAAAGCCTTGCATGCCTCCGCCACCAAATTGTGAACCTTTATAATGAAGTAATTAGGATCTCCATACTATTCTAATTTACCTCCTCCCATACCGCCAAAACCTCCTCCACTCATACCACCACCATAGCCATAACCTCCAGGCACACACTCGATCATATTAAAATTATTAATTAAAGCAAGGAAGAATAAAGGGAACAAAAATTTGAGCATTTTGAAAATTTTTAAATTATTTTTTAAAATAGAAATAGAGGTTAATTGTTAATTTTAGACTTATTCCACCCATCTATTTATACTAAAGTTTCTGTGTGGTAATACATTATTTTAGTCATCGAACACTGATCAGCGAAGAAAATCGGCTTAATAAGAAATTTTGAAGATTGCAGATTTTATTAATATAACGGCCGAAAATGGGTAAATATTTGGCGAATATAATTTCTAGAAAATGGAAAAAATGGAAAAAATAAAAGAAAAATATACTTCCTTAGTAAGTACAGTTATTAAGCAAGTTTAGTCATCAAACACTGACAGTCAAAAAACTGTCCCTAAAATTAATCAGCGTGTCTATCTAAACAATACATCCATTTTAAGATACACCTCATTATAAGGTGGATATCAAAGGTTTTCCGAAACGGATTTTAACAAGCAAAAGACAAAACACCAAAAAAGGCAGCAGCGAAAGGCCTAATAAATATGATTTTCCTCAGTTAAGTCCTCAGTTTTCTGTAAGATCTGTTAGTTCTGTAAGCCTTAAGTTTTAAGTAAGATACCCCCAAGTTTAAGATATTTTTTGAATCTTGGTTGACCACTGAGTGAACGTAGCTATCAAAACAATACATCCATTTTAAGATACACCTCATTATAAGATAGATATCATATGTTCGCCGAAACAAATTTTAGAAAGCGGAAGATGAAACACCGAAAAAGGCAAAAATTCGGTGAAAGGCACATACCTAATAAATATTATTTTCCTCGGTTTAGTCACCCAAAAAATTTTCAAAAATGTTTCTTTTTAATTTTACACTTTATTTAATAATAAAACAACATATTTTGTTCTTTCCATCAATTTATTATTTGCAATATACTCATTCATCCAAATCCTAAAACTATTAATTCATTCACTCAACCGATGTTTCATACACCAAACAATCAATCCATCTCAATCCAGAGCATCTTTCTTTTTTTTCAATCCGCTCTTTCACCACCCATACACACAACATTCATCAACCAATTTTCAATCCCTAAAAACATTCAAACAACTAAATATATATTTTTATTTATTCTTCCACGCATTCTCTCCCCCTCCTCCCAATTTTCATTTATTCACCGCCAATTCTTCATTTTTCAATCGCCCGGTTGTTATTCTAGTTTGTGGCGTTGTTAATTCTTTCCTCTCCTTTTATTTCTCCGTCAAAGTCCGGTATATTTGCTTTTATAGCTTTTCGTGTGTCCGCTTTGTTTTTAGTAAATCTATCAGTTTTTATCGATGTGTAACGTAAAACCCAAAACAATTAAAATATTAGCAAACAATTGGAAAAATAATAAAAAAAAGAAAGAGAATGGAACGATATGATCTTGTTTAAGTGCATTCTAATTAATTTTTGATTTGATGTCTTCGAGAAAATGCTGGAAAAGTGCCTCTCACTTCAATTTTTCCACTCACAGACAAAAGTACATGTTGGATGTCAAGCCTTAAATAATTTTTATAAACAGTCTTAAATGGTCATTTACCTTTACAAAAACCCTCAAAAAGGCACAAAATCTGTTTGTTAGTTACTTTGACCATTTTCTCTATGGCGAATTGCAACATTGGCAAACTTTAAAATTGAACTCCTCTTTCCTTTTATTTTTATTTTCATTGCCTAAAATGTATTAAAGAGAAAATTATTTGGAGAGGATACCATCTTATATTGCTAAAACCATACGTTCATCATTGCGCCAGGCAAAACTATTACTATTTTTTGGGCCTCTTACCTCCGATATGTGCAGTTTCACTGCATTCAACCTTTTTATACTCTCTTCCAAAATTTCGCCTCATTCATAAAACTCTCACATATAATACATACAAAATCATCACCACATTGCTGTGACAATTGCTTCTCTCAATTCCCCTCCACTATACTAACTTGAAGTTACCTCCGCTCAATTTTTCTTTATATAAAATGCCCAATTACAAAACGTCCATTTTTAATTTTTGTCTCTAATCATGATTAAAATTTCTTGTGATTTGCCGCTTACCATCTAAGATTCGTAAAATAAATCATATGATCAGCATTTTTAACCGGCTTTTGCTAGATCTTCTTGCAAGAACCTTATTAATTGTTCCTTAAATGTATTAAAAGTTATCGATCTCTATCCTGGCATTTTGTATCCTGGATGTTTTGTACTCGCGCCTCTTTTCATTGTTATTTCTCTGCTATACTGGCTGCTCATTGCTTTGCTTACCCACTTCTCATCACCGCACCATGTCGCCTATATATATCGCCGCTTGGGTTTTTAGTGTCGAAGAAAGCTGTTGTGTGTGAGGAGTTGTTCTCTTTTTCTTTTTGGCTGTGTCCTTCCTTCATTTATTTTATTTATTCACTTAATTAAATACTTACAACCTACGAGACTGAATAAATTTATATAAAACAACAAATTTGATCAATTTCTTCAACGGGCGCTAATTGATATTTTTTAAATGCCATTATGTAGTTTTTACTATGTTTGTTAATTAACGTCATCAATCAGTTTTTAACGCCGCAATATAAATCTATTAATAAAAAGCATTTGTTATCTAATTAATTTTACTTGAAATTTTTACTAATTGTTTTTGAAAAAAGTGATATTAAGTACTTCATCTGGACATTTGAGTCTCAATTAAGAAGTCATTAATAAATTATCGATAAATAATGCAGTCGAACCTCTCTATAGTGTACTTTCTTGGGGCTAAAAGATAGTCTCTTATAATGGGGTGTATGTTATATAGAGGGTATCTTTTAGCTAATCCCTATTTAAGGTACCCCCTCCAATGGTCAAAAAGACTTAAAATGTATCTTAAATGGAGGTGTATCTAGTGTTGGATGTATCTTATAGAGAGGTCCGTCTGTACATAACTTGCTGTCTTATTTCGATAAAAAATCTAAGAAAAAACGTCTGCCCAAAAAAAATTTTTTTTAATTCAACCAAAATATTACAACTTTTTAATTATCGACATTTGTGCCCAAAAGCCCTTTCGGGTGGACACACAATTTGTACGGCCTCCGGCTATGGGAGGGACGGACGCTTATAAAGGGAGGACAGAGAACTCAAAAGTTCTCTTAAACTTATAAGCGATGATGACGACGACAGCCTACCCAAAATCCCCAAAAATACACACACCAAAGAAGAAAAGATTTATTTAATTAACAAATAAATTTAGCGGTCCGATAACAGCTCGGGATCCGCGGTGTGAATAAATTGGTGATTAAAATATGTGGTGAAAATGCGAACAAATAATTTAAGTTAGTGCTCCGCTCTCCTGCTCCCAGTTGAAGGGAGAAAAGTTGGTTTAATTGATTGGGTTTAAAGGAATTAGAAAATTATAAGATTTTGAGAGAAGTTGGAAATTGAAAGAAGGATTGAAAGAAGTGATTTTAGGGACAGCCGAGCGCTAACTTGACAGCCAAAGGTAGGCGTGGTTAAAAACAAAATAAATTGCGGGCGGTAAAATTAAATAGGTGAGAGAAATGGAAAAAGTAGTGGAGGGCTTATGCCCTTTTGGGCACACTCCCCCCGGCAAAACAAGAAATGTTTATCGAGAACGACGTGAGTGTCCAAATGCAATATGAATCGATTTCATCAGTCTCTTCGCGGCCCCATCAATAGCAAGTAAGTCATGTTCCTCTTCATTCGTCAACTTGGCTCGACCAGATTCCATAGAATGAATTGCATCAGAAATCTGACCGCAAAGTTGACCCGTGGTAGTTCGGACCTTTCGCAGAGTTTCTGTATGTTGATCAGAAACTCCCCAATGTGAACGCCCAGAACCTGAACGGGAATAACGGTCATTAGACTCAACGCGATCTCCCCGATCTTGCTCACCTAAAGTCTTTTCTCTTTCTCCACTGTTAGAACGCCCAGATGAAGAAGAACATTTCCACTTTGATTCAGCGGGAGTGGCCACCGCAAATTTATTGACCGCTTCCTTATGAGTGGCGGTCTTTTCACAAACTCCCCCCATGGCTGCTGGCGCGTTGACTACTGTTTGTTGAGCAGTCAGTTTCTGCGCAAAGGAAAAGAACGCTTCAACGAGGCTTTGATTTTTCTGGTTTTGCCTCTCTTGTTTTAAACGCTCTTTTTCCAACTTAGCCTTCAGATCTGGCATTAAAATGTTCCCTTTATTACTCTCCCCCAATTCAATTTTTCCCTCACCTACAGAAACAACCAATGAGTTTTGTTTAGTTGCTGCTGCGGGCGATTCTTTCTTTTCTTGTTGTTTCTCGACAATTTGTTTTCCATTTTGAGTAGCAGAATTAATTTGATTAA